AGTTCTCAGGGAGAGGGGGAGGGTGAAGTGGAGAGAGATATGTTGTTAGTTTTTGTATACACTACACAGTAATTGATGAAAGGCCTATATAAAGCGAGATGAAATGTGCCCTTTTCCATGGACTGTGCGGAAGACTTTAGGGGCTTAGGGCAAAAATTATAAAAGGGTATTTTATTTTTTGAGAAGAGTGTTATTATTGGATTCATATTCAAAACTTAGGGCTTATGCGTGTGTTAGTATGTATGCATTCACATTCACAATGTATAATAACTAGCGTTACTACCTGTGTATCACACAGGAGAATCAATTTTATACATTAAAGAGAAGTTCATTGATATAAACGTTTGTCATGTTACTCATGTATATACATTAAGGAGAAGTTAATTAATACTCCCTTCGTCCCGCAAAATAGTTCCCGGTTTCCTTTTTGGGTTGTTCCAAAAAATAGTTCACATTTCCCCTTTTGGAAAGTTTTATGTGGCTCACATTCATTTATCTTTTTCTTACTCAACCACAATCACACATTTCTACTTTATTCCTACTTTCTTAAACTCCGATCCAAGTCAATGCGAGAACTATTTTATGGGACCGAGTATACATTTTATACATTAAGGAGAAGTTTATTGACATAAACGTTTACGTACATAGAAGTTTTTTTCATATATTTTGTAGATGAGAAAAATTTTAGATTACAAAAAATATAGGTGTGATTGATATTGATATCTCTATACCTTTGGAACACTCATATATACAACACTCATAATTTCTGTTAATTATCACCATGTATCTTGGTTACCCGGGTCGGTTCCGGGCCTCCCCTTTCATGAACCGAGGCCCGGCCCAGGCCCAAACCGGCCCGAGTCCACCCCTAATTAATATCATCAAATTGGATTTTCAATAACAATCATGAATGGATTCACTGCTTATTTTATACATCAAGGAGGAGTGTATTGATATAAACATATGTCATATAGGGGTGGACTCGGGCCGGGCGGCCCGAACCGGAACCGGCCCGGCCCGGTCACTCTTTGAACCGGTCCGGCCCGGCGGCCTGGCCCATGGGCAGTTCGGGTCGACCCGGACCGGTGGCTACCGGTTCCGGGCTCGGGCCTTCATTTTGGTGAACCGGCCCGCCCGGTCCAGGCCGGATTTAATTTTTTTTTTTTGATTTTTTTTTTAAGTTTTTAGGTTGGATTGGGTATTTTGGGCCATTTGAGGTGGTTTGGGGTGATTTGGGGTTGAGGGGGAGGGTAGGGGGTTGATTAGGAAAACCCAAAAAAAAAAATATAGAACCGAACCGGGCCCGGCCCGGCCCGAACCGGACCCGGGGTTACCCGGGCCGGTTCCGGGCCTCCCCTATCTTGAACCGAGGCCCGGCTAGTTCAAGGCCCGAACCGAGTCCACCACTGATGTCATATATATACGTACATAAAGTTTTTGTCATATATTTTGTGGATGAGAAAAATTTTAGATTACAAAAAATATAGGTGTGATTGATATTGATATCTCAGTATCTCTAGGAGAATTGTGGCGGCAATCCATCGAACAATGAGAATGGAATCAGGCTGGTGATCGGTGGCATAAAGGACGTCGTGAACCCATAAGAAGTCCCACTGAAATGGATGAAGGCTTCCGGCGGATGAAGGCGACAAAGTTTCACTTGCTGAGGTGAAGAAAAGTTTCACGTGCAATGAAAGGATAAAGTAAAAAGATGGCTCACTTTTGTGTAGGGGTGGACTCGGGTCAAGCCAACCGGAACCAATCTAATCCCGGTGCGGGCTCGGGCCCCCTAAAATGCGAACCGGCCCGACCGGTCTGGGCCAAATTTTTTTTTTTCAATTTTTTTTTTTACTTTCTACCGGGTTGGGCTGGGTGTATTGGGGTTGGGGGTTGGGGTTGGGGGTGGGGGTGAGGGGGGTCGGGGGTTATTTAGAAAATTAAAAGAAATTTAAAAAAAGAAAATTGAACCGGAAACCGGCCCAGAACCGCCGGCTACCCGGACCGGTTCCGGTTCGCTACTTCCCAAACAAAAGCTCGGCCAGTCCCAGGCCCAAACCTGAACCGGCCCAGGTCCACCCCTACTTTTGTGGAAATTTTCTAATGGGTTATATTTTTGGAAATTGAAACGTCTTAAGTCGTACACGGGCCATTATTTCTTGGATATAAAATGGAGGGATGTTCAAGAATTAATGATTAAATATTTTAGACAAAAATGATTAAATGGCACACAGCTAAGACGATGTTGGGTGATCGGTATTTAGTTTGGCAATAGTTCACTACCTTTAGGACATGTTTACTTCACGGGTTACTAAGCGGTGCTTATTAAAAGAAATAATTACATGAATATGACCAAAATAAAGATGGTTTACAAAAATATGATTAGTTACTAGAGTAGTAATGAAATCATAGTAATTCATGTTCAAGTTTTGAACTTAAGTTACTACAACACCACCTTATAGTAATGAATAGTTATATTTATGTAAATATGTTTTATTTTAGTAATATTCTTGTAAAAAACCCTTATTAAAACCCGCTTTAATAAGCGACGCATAAAATAAGCAATGTTGTAAGGTCGTGTTTACTTCACAAGGTTTAAACACCGTTTAACATTAAAATGTCCGAAATAACCCTATACATATATAGACGCACAAACATTCATGAACACAAGTATATAATATAATATGTGGGGTCACCTCGTACATGAACCTATACCCCTAACCCTTTTACCCCGCCCCTATACCCTCCACCCCCACCCCTACCCTACACCCTACACCCAATTCCACACCATTGACCCCAACCCTACCCTTACCATGATAGGGGGGTAGGATGGCGGTAGGGTGGTAAGGCTAAGGGTGGGGGTGGGGCCAAGGTAGGGGCAAGTGGTAGGGAGTGGGGTAGGGTCGTGGTCAGGGGTAAGGGTGGGGGAATGGGTAGGGTGGGGTCAGGGTAAGGTAGGGTAGAGTAGGGGTAGGGTAGGGGTATGATAGGGTAGGGTGGGTTCGGGGTTAAGGTAGGGTGGGTCAGGGTAAGGTAGGGTAAAGGGTAGGGTGGGGTCAGAGGTAAGGTAGGATAGGGGTAGGGTGAGTCGGGGTAAGGTAGGGTAGGGTGGGGGTCGGGTTAAGGGGGGTAGGGTAGGATTACAATAAGGTGGGGCCGAGGTAGGGGTAGGGTGGGTCGGGGTAAGGTAAGGTAGGGTGGGGTTGGGGTCAGGGTAAGGGGGTAGGATGACGGTAGGGTGGGGCCGGGATTGGGGTGGGCCAAGGTATTGGCAAGTGGTAGGGGATAGGGTAGGATAGGGTAGGGGTAAGGTACGAGGATGTAGGTAGTGGGTAGGGTGGGGTCGGGGTCGAGGTAGTAGGGTTGGGCGAGGTGGGGGTAGCGGGTAGAGGGGTAACAATAGGGTAAATTCGGATATTGAAAAAGCTTAGAGTGCCACTTAATTAATACATGTGGGTGGTATGCTTAGTAAGCGGCACTCTAAGCATCTCTTTTGGTTAGTAAGCGACTTTTTAAGCAACATGCGTGTTTAGTTCATATCTTACTAACCTAACGGTGGTTTTAGCAACGAAGTAAACACCCCCTTAGTCATAATTGATGTTACTTTTCATCTTGTATAACCGTTTATTGTCTTTTGTAAGGCACCTTACTCCAATTTGCAGTGTGGATGTTTTTTGCCACAATTTAATTATTGATTTCACAAACAAAAAAATACAAAAAATATATCTCACTGACATTTTCAACCCTTCCAGACTACTACATTATTAATCTAGTACTTTTATATCCCACTTTTTCACATTAAGGGTGGACTCGGGCCGGTTCCGGTTCCAGGCCAAACCGGGCCGGGCCGGGCCTAACCGGTTCTAATTTTTTTTTTGGCTCTTCTATTTAACCCCCAACCCCTCCCCCTCAACCCCAAACCACCCCAAACCACCTCAAATGGCCCAAAATACCTAATCCAACCCAAAACTTAAAAAAAATCAAAAAAAGAAAAAAAATAATTAAAAACCAGCCCGAACCGGTCCAGAACCGGCCGGGCCGGTTCACCAAAAACTAGGCCCGAGCCCGAATCGCCCAGCAGCCGGGCCGGGCCAAACAGTAACCGGGCCGGGCCGGTTCCAGGCCGGGCCGCCCGGCCCGAGTCCACCCCTATTTCACATTTTCCTTTTCAGGGTGTCACTTTATAAACTTGAGTTGAGTATTTCACTTTTAGATAAAAGTGTGGCCATAGTCTTTATTTCTTTCTACAGAAATTGTAAACGGGGTCAGACCGTCAGACTGATGGTTTCTATTCAAACAAGTCCCGCTAAACCAAGCATTCAGCTTGGACAGAGCCTTGCTAAAAATTAAAGACCTACTTACCTAAAGAACCGGGGCATAGCTCACCTAGTAGGAAGGGAGAGGTCCTGGGTTCAAACCAAGCAATGACTTGCGATGAAACCTCACTCTCTTTCTCTCAGAGTGAGAACAAAGCCCAATTTACATCCTCCCAGGTAACTGTCTGGTCGTGTATGGGAGGGCCTTCAGAGATAGGGTGTCAACGTTTTTTAAGAACTACTTACCTAAAGCCTCGATGTTTTTCCGGTGTATCCGGGGAAATAAACTTTAAGATCCCCCTGTACCCCCAATTCCCACCCCATGGAAGTCAGCATTTTCTTGACTAATTGCTCGATGTTTTTCCGGTGTATCCGGGGAAATAAACTTTAAGATCCCCCTGTACCCCCAATTCCCACCCCATGGAAGTCAGCATTTTCTTGACTAATTGCGCTTTTAAGATGTTGCCCCATCTATTCTCCTCATATCCCTAACCTACACCCAACCTAATGCTTAGTAGAACACTAACTAATATCCTTCATCTCTATGCTCTTCCGTCGCTGGTCCCCCCCCCCCAGCTCTCTGACAGGAGTTGAGATAGTAGTGGTTGACATTCCCGGGCAAAGTTTCCCCCCCTGGCTCTCTGACAGGAGTTGAGATAGTAGTAGTTGACATTCCCGGGAATGTTTTTATTTGAGAGTAAAAACATAATCTATATATATCATAAAACTGAATAACTTTGCGGGCTCATCCCACATTCCAATTATGGGCAATTGGGCACCCTCAATTGTTACAGCATAACCTTTCAATTTACATTTAACTTCATTTTCTTGGGTCAAATATCACAAAAACAGAACAGTTCCACATTGAAACAATGCAATTTTTTCTACAACTCAATCAGTTCTATGTAATCCAATGTTGAGATCAGAGGAGATGGATATCAGTAGAGGCAATGTGGGGTGCCAAACGGCCTTGAAGACACGTTTCTGGTGTGCATTTATGGACTGGGAAGGTTTGTGAGACTTGTACCTTATATCAAATATGTGGATGACAGGGTCCATTGAACCGGATGAAATGTACAAGCCATTGGGAGACCAGGACTGCTGTATAAGAGCAGATTGAGTTTCACTGCTTTCTTGCTTCCAACCGAGTGAATGGACCTCTGTTTGCCTCGCTCTTATATCAAACAACCTTAGCTGCTTCTCTAAAGTCCTGAAATGAAGTTGGATACCAAATTTTAGAAGGATTGTTTTAGTAGCCAGCCCTGTTTTTTCAGCAGAAGCATAAATAGAGCACGACTGGTACAGGCTGTTTAGATTTGGCAAAGAGTTTATTGGGCTTAAATAGCTGAACACATTTGGTAAAATCCATTTCAGCCCAAATAAATCAAAACCTACTAATTTTATTCATGTTCTGATTATCATGTTGATAAGTAGAATAAGCCAATTTTGCCATCGGACAGAGCCTAACTATCTTTTCACTTATTTGGCTAAAAGAGATGCTACCAAACTTTTTTTGGGGGAAAATTATGTAGATTCAGTCAAATCAATGAAAAAATCCTTAACAAACAGGGACTAATACTATGGTGTCTGAGCTAGACAAGTAAATGCAGTGCCTATTTGGCTGAACGGATTGCCAAATATATGCCCCATGTGAAAATAGAGTTCACAAAATGCTTATGCATCATCATTCATGTCATCTGACATATTTGAATGACAAAATATCCATGGAGATACGAGTTAACTGTTAAGACAATGAAGGACATCACAAAGATGAATAGAATGACACAAGCATTTATAATAACTCATTTTCGTAGTGGCAATAAAAACGTAAAACTCAAATAAGGACACAAAAGGAAAAGTTTTCGCTTTAGTCCCATGACTGTTAGGTTGTTCCCAATTTGGGTCCTCGACTTCCATTTTTTCCACTTTGTGGTGAACAGCTATAGTCTTGTTACTGTTGGTCTTTCCGATCACTATCTGGCCAATTCCTGTAGAATATTCTGTTGGTTTTGGCAGGATTAGTTACCAGGAAAGAGCAAAAATACAAAAATTGAAAATCAATCACCAAAACTGGAACGACCTAATAGTTCTGGACAGGTGGGAGCAAAGATTGAAAATTTCCTAAACAAAACGCATTATGGGCAATGAGGATATGCTGTTATGACATGTTTACCCTGTCTGAACCATGAACAGATTAAGGTCACATGGATTAGGTAGAACACTCATGCATTTGCTTTCCAATTGATGCTTATATTCCACCCTCTCTGCTATAAGATCAAACCCAACGATCCTTTTGTCAGCGCCAGCGGACATGGCAATATTCTTTTGTTGCAGCCCGGATACCCCCATCACAGCAGAGGAATGGATAGTTTTGTGTAACACGTGAGGTTTAAATGAATTCTCTCGCTCCTTCTCTGACCAAAAGATAACGGCGTGATCACTGCCTCCAGTAGCAAAAGAGTTCGCTTCCCAGGGCATGAACATTATGCTGTTGATGATGCCTTTAACATGTGGAATTTCTTCCAAGAATCTTACTTTTGAACTCTGCGATGCATTAGTGGTCGAAGTCATAGTAGATATTAGGATTACAATTCAACAGGTGGTCTGAGTCGCATGTGACTCAACAACTATAAAAGAAAACTGCTTATTCAAGCATAGAGATATCAGGTACATATCCAATAATAACAATGATGATGACAACAACTACTATGATGGTGATGAAAACCTAAAAAAATAATAAAACGAAATTAATACGACAATAATATAAATACATGGTCACTGTCAGAGTCACCATAGTCCAGACAGATCCGGTCACTGCGCACAGAGGAGGTTGTAATTGGATTTGGCTACATTTTCTCTTTTTATTGTTTTTAACCCCGATATCATTTTTTTATTCATGTTAGCCGGCCTCAAATTCTTTTGGGATTAAGGCTTCGATGTTGTCGAATGCTTAGTGCACACAAAGTTGTGCACATTTTCAAAATCATTCACTAAGACTACTTTTGTCTGTTAAGTTAGACAACAGATAAAAATGACTCATCATCATCATTACCTTACCTACGGTGGGGTAAGGGGGGTCGGATGTACGTAGTCTTACCCCTGTACTAAAGCGGGGATAAAAATGACTATTGGAAGAAAATCCAATTTACAAACAATGCACAGACAAGAAATGAACAATTACAAAAAACTGAAACAAGAAAATTAATCACAATCAATGTGAGTAGGGCGCAAACTAATGATGTATGTGATCCAACCTATGTGTACAAAATGTGCAAGGCAAAACGTGTACAAATGTCATTTTCCTTTTATCATGAGTTTCCTTCGGCAATAAATTTCTCATGATTCCGCATAACAATAATTATTATAATAATGGATCATTCCATGTTCCACATTCAACTTTACACCTATAGTGTGAGTGTTTGTCCATTTCTTCGTCGCCTTTACAATTGGCTGGTTTGGAACCCACATTAGGGTTTTGCTTTCTGTTACGGACTGTCGATTTGAGGGATATGCTAGTAAACATTTGTTTTTAGTGTTATTACTTCTCTCTTTAGTTGACACTTTGGTCCTTCAAACCCTCACCTACCAAATCAACCCATGCTCCCTTCATATTTTGAAACCCAGAAAAGCAGGATGCGACTTGGTCATTTAATCCACTAGTTTCTAAGTATTCATTTGAATCTCATCTCATCCGAAAAGCATGTGAGGTGTCATGGATGTGCTTGCAAAGTCAACTGAAGCTCTTCATGTGTATTATGTCCCCAGTCCCACAAATTGACATTTAGGCTATATAACTCGAACCTAAAGTAATGGCTTTCACTTTTTAATAATGGTCAAATTTAAAGATGATGACCAAAAATGGGGAAACACTATAGCCGGAGTATCCAAAAATGTCAATTTCGAAAACGAGGACCGAAAATGGGAAAATACTATAGCCAAAGGACCCATAATGTAATCTTTACAACAACAACAAAAACATTACCCCAGTGCCGCAAAGGCTCCCACCTGCGGTGGGGTGAGGGACCTACAGTGGGGTAAACTTTTCTCATAATAAATACTCAGACCATGACTCTGTCAGACTTTAACAGGCCACAGATGCTGAACTTTTTTACCAATGTTTTTAATCGATGTATTTTAGTAACTACTAGGAGTACACATGTAATATTTCCTAATAATAAATAGTCAGACCATGACTCTTTCAGACTTTAACAGGCCACAGATGTAGAACTTTTTAACTAATGTTTTTAATCGGTGTATTTTAGAAAGAGTAATTATAAATTGTACTGCTTTTGTCTCCAATTGTTCTTCAACACTGAGTTTTCTACAAATTTTTAATAAAGTGGGACACTCCAAGTAGAAAGAGAAAAAAAACAGAGTAGGAAATACAACAACAACATTCAAGCCTTCGTCCCAGAAGAGTTTGGGGTCAGGGTAGGAAATAGAGTGGCAAAAATGGAAAGAGGGAAATAGAGACGGACAAAAAAGTAGAGGAAGAACTTTTAGAGACAGAGAGTGCACTTTATGCAATTATTACTCTTAGCAAAAAAACATTTCTTTAGTACTCTTTATAAATCTTTTTTGCAAAAAATATATAATTGGTCAAAGTTGAAATTTTTAAACAAAGATGTCAAATCACAAATGTCGCCTCTTAAAGTGGGGCAGGGATAGTAATAAGTTGTACTAACAAACAGTAACATTAGGTATTTCAAATTGATGGCATGTCATTATGCAAAATACTATTAGTATATAAGCAGACATCAAGATAAGAATTCAACCCAATTGGGGTATACATTTTGATAATCAAAGTCAATCAAATGAAAAAGGGAGTCAAGTACTTTTCCATCTTTCAGCAAAAAAAGAAATGAATGTTTAACGTGCATGTAAAATATACGTGCAAGTAGATAAAGCTATTTCTCATCAACCAATGTAACTCATAAAAGATTCTACTTACCAAACTCAAATTAATCCATATCATGTCATGACCATAAAAAAATCGTGAAATAGTACCTCTTTTGGTTCATTAAGATTCCAGATTGAAATCTGTGATTCTTCACCATCAGCAGTGTAAACTGATAGAATGGAATTCCCCTCGGGATGCCAGGCAACATCTTCTGGCCATCTCCTTTTCTTGGGTGACAAGCAATTAGCAGTACTAATAAGGACTGCACTAGATCTGCATTCTCATCAAAGAAGCAACACAGTTCATTACTTAGTTGCCGCTCGGTAGCCATTTTTTTCAACTTATCAGCCACAACTTTAAGTAAACTAATTTTTTCACTCAACACAATGAAGTGATTAATAATAAAAATAAATAATGTTTGAGGTAATTTTGAAGAAGTTGCCGAAGATTATCATTTTAGCATTTCTCATGTGTTTTTTCTTTTCTATTAATAGAACAATAGTTGAAATTTATATTTTTCATAATTATGCAATTCCAGCAACTTCATCAATACCTGAAACAATATGTTAATTAATCCAAATTCACCATTACCAAACACACCATTATATGGAGAGAGCTAATTACTACATGTGGATACTTTTACAACGATAAATCAACAAGGACACCACTCTCACTGAAAAAAGTTACAAATAATAAAATAGTGAAATCCATCATAACATCACCAAATACTCAATTGATCCCTCATACTTAAGAAACACCCAATAAGACACGTGATATTGTTAGAAACTCCGAATCAAACATATGAATTTGTTAAAAACGCCCAATTAGAATTAAGGTTGTTAAAATTGTATGTTGTTTAATCGAATCGGGAGAGGTTTTTTAAAATCGAATCGTTAATCGAAACATAAATCGTACTCCCTTCGTCCCGAATTATAAGATACTTTTCGGTTTACGATGTTTGACCGACGATAAAGCAAACGGATCCCTCTTTGCACTCAAATTATTTTTAGAAAAAAAAAATTACATATTCAAAAACTACATTAAACCCGCTACAAAACCTGCAAAAAATAATTCAAATTTCATAAAATTTCGATATATAAAGTAAGAGATTAAGAGTTACTTGTGTTGACCAAGTGAATAGTAAAGATATCTTATAAAATGGGACAGAGGGGGTAAGATTTTAGAAAACATATACCCATAGTATTGACAATTATTATGTAAAAAAATATTAAAACCAACCTACAAGTTAAAAATACTAAGTCATCTCATTACTTAAAACTATTACATGTGATGTCAAATGAAGCGATTAATAAACATTAAACATATCTAAAACACGAAAATCATTTAATAATTCAAGTATCCATTACTTTCTATAAATATATTATTGATCTTATTACTATTGGATTTTATATCAAAATCTCACAGATAATATTAATAATTTCAAACCATCCATTAAAAACAACACTACGATTTTATTGCGATTTTTTAATATGATTATGACCGACTCTACTACGATTTTGTGCGGTTTTATAAGTTTACAATTTTACTTGCAATTCAAATCCATTTATTAGTGTCGAGTCGTACTGTTATCAAGACTTTCACAACCTTAATTAGAATCTTTAGCAGGTCACATATCACCCTCATTCCCATGTTGTTGCGCTTCACTACCACATCATCTAGATATTCTTGTTTTTTTACACATTGTTTTTCCTAATTCAACTTTTCAACCAACCCCCACCCACCATCACCGCCCTCGGCCACCCACCATCACCAATCACTATCCCGGCTAATTTTTCCCAAAACGGCCCCGCTAACCAATTTTTAAAATTTAGAAAAATCGTGTAGCCGCCCAGTGGTAAATTTTTTATGAAATATTATTATTACTACTACTACTTATATAATTTGCCCTTAAATTTTTTTGTAGGAAATTTTCTGGTATTTTCCTAGATCTTTTTTAAAAAATGGCCCGCTATGGCATTTTTCTAATACTTCTCAAAAAAGGACTGTTGGCAGTGTTGGTCGCCGGCAGCGCCTGTTGGTGGTGGCGGTGACTGAGATTGATAGGTGGGGATTGGTTGAACTAAGAATTAAATAATATATAGGAAAAATAATATAGGAAGAGCTGGATGATGTGGCCGTGAGGTGATGATGACAGTGACAATGAGTAGGCGATGACACTACAATGAGGTGGACATCTGACCTGTTAACGTGTTGATAACCTGATAAAAATGATAATTTGATGCTTTGAACAAATCCGAGTTCCTGATAGAAATTTCTTAAGTACGAGTGTCTAATTGAGGATTTGGTGATACTATGAGGGTTTATTTGTCATCTTTTTCAGTAAAATTCTTATATTGGCTTTGCTTCGAAAGTTCACCAGTGATTCAGTTTGGCATACCCACTATCCTGAAGCTTCCACAAATTGACTGCTCCATCCAGTGCGCTGCAGTTACAATTGTAAGTAAGTAGTGATCTAAATAAATAATATGAAGGAAATTCAAATTCTACGATATGAACAAAAGTTCAAAACATATTTAAAGCAGAAAATATTACTGCATAAAAATGTTAAAGTGAGAGAAGCCCGGCATGGACACTGCAGTTGTGCTTGTAAATATGTAGTGTTCTAAATAAATAATATGAATGAACTTCAAATTCTACGTGATGAGAAAGTATTGGGACAAGTCCAACACAACAAAGATTACTACTGCATAAAAATGTAAAAGCTGGAAATAGCAAGCCTGGTGGAGTCTCTACCCTTGTGTCCTAGAGGTCCAGTGTTGGAATCCCCTTGCAGAAAAAACGAAAAGGAGACCTACACTCTTCCTTCCCTAGCCCCCACCCCGCCGCCACAATCACCAATTTTGGTGGAGCGGGGCTTCCCAAAACTTGAATTTGGGTGGGCCGGAAAAGTAATTCATTCATATATACTCCGTATTTTTATAGTAAAAAATTTACACATGGAAAAAATTAACCAAACTTGGGTTCCCCGCCGCCCCGTGCGCCCATGCGAGTGACTACCAGGACTATTTTCCTTGTGGAAACTCAGCATTATCAGAGACTCGAGAGTAGTTAAGTATTAAGAAACTTCCGCAAACCTGTTGGCTGTTGCCCTTAGGCAACATATCTAAAGTACATCTAACCATAGTAAACTTATAGTATACAAATGAAGTGCTATGAAAGAATGTTTTTAAAAGGTAGGATGCAATGCACAAGACAGTATCATATGCAACTTTAACACTTGACTAGGGCTTCAACCCATCACTAGATGTTGGCAAGTGGGAATCTTCTATTACACCTCACCCAAGCCTTCTAAATGAATATTTGGTTTCGTAAATAAAAATATTTAAAAAAAAAGTCACAACATCTACATAACATAATAAGTACTCAATGATATTTATAAACTTGGACATAAGTCATAAAGAAAAATAAGTTTTATCCAACCTGCTCAGCTGGAAGCTTATACCAAAATACAAAACAAAACTCAAAAAATGAATATTAAGGGCCCATTTAGGATGTTTTCGTTTGGATTGTTTTCAGTCCCAAACCAGACCAGACTTGGACACCATAAAATACACAGAGACTACATATTTACCAGAACATACTAGAACAGACTTAACCAGACCAGATCAGACCAGCAAACCACAGTCCAAAAGAAAACATCCTTGCTAATTGAAATATTTTCTGTTTTTCCAGAAAACTGGAAAACTGAAAGACAGAGACATGTTTTTTATTTTCTTCTTAAGTTTTCCAGAATGGAAATACGCAGCGCTACTCTGCATTTTGTATTTGTTTCGCGCTCGGATATCAGATTAAGGCAATTTTTTTAGAAATTACATAATTTTTTTAGATCTATGCAACAATGTATTTTGAATAATAACTTTTTTATTAAATTACAAAAATCAATTTTCAGGTTGTTAGTGTTTTATAACTTACTTTTAGGTATCATAATTCTTCCCCAAAAAATAAGTTTCTAATACTAACTCTGATCTAGATCATGAAAAAACACGTGGCTTGAAAAAAGTATTAGTAGTGTTATGTACTCAAGCATGTTATGAAAAAATATGTGGCTTTAAAAATAAGTTTCTAATACTAACTTTGATTCATAATTTTCACGTCAAAGTATTACTAGTGTTGTGTATTTGTTTTTCAAGACAATGTCACTTACTAAATTTTGTTCGTGGATTATCATTTATGTAAACTTTATTATGATTATGTTTCTAATTACGAGTACTTTACTATGCATTATACACACATATTAATTTTTTAACGGTGTCAGGTAGTAGTTGTCATTTTTACGCCTTCGGTTCAATCACATTTCAATTCCTCAATGTATATACTTTATGGTTTTGAAAAATGAAATGAAAAACAAAGGAAGTTTGGAAAACATATGTTCAGATTTGGAAAATGAAAAACTGAAAAATGAAAACGAAAAACGTAGAAAGAAAACTGGTGAAATAAGTAAACGAGTCGTAGTTGTCATAGCGCATGGCGGTCGCTATGGTTCAAAGGCATTTTTCATGGCGCATATGGCGCTATGGCGACGATCACTTTTTCATGGCAATGACGCATATGGCGTGCGCCATATCTCGCCATTGACAACTATGAAACGGGCCCTAAGCTTTTTAGAGAACCAGAATTGATGGTAAGACTATAAAGCAAGCCCTCACTACCTGGTGGCAAAGAGTTTCTCATTACATGGACACAATACAAGACTCCTCATCTTTCTTTTGTGTTGACTGGATACAACAGCACAAGTCTGGCATTTGATTGTGCATGGTGAAGAGTAGCGACTAACCATAGATATTAGATCCTTCTGCACTTTTTTATCTACACCAAGATAATATAAAAATTAATAAACAAATAAACATCCAAATTTAGTAACTAACACAAATATTATAAGGTGTTTCTGAGTGACCGAGAGATCAGAGGTTCAAGTCTTGGGAGCAGCCTCTTCTCAACATTTGACTGGGGAAGGCTTGCCCCCCTAAACACCCTTGTGGCAGGACCTTTCCCCGGACCCTCACCTTGTGGGTATGCTTTCGTGCACAAGGGTGACCTTTTAAGCAAATTCTATACATCTGTCCCATGACAAAAAGTCAGTTTTGACCAAATGCACAACATTTTTATAAGGGAGATTTCCCAAAATAGGACTAAATAGGGTTTGAAATTTCAAAATTTGACTGTTATGTTTTTCTTCCCGAAATAGGAGTAAGATGACAATACTTACTGTCATCTTTTAATCATCTTTTAATCATGACTGTCAAATAGTTGCAGTACTATGCATTCAACATGGCAGTGTTTATAATGATTAATGACAGTATTTTTCAATCATGACAGTAACAACTTCTATTTCGGGAAGAAAAACATAGTAGTCCTATTTTGGAATTACCAAAGTTGTTTACTACTATTTAGGGCAATTTCCCTAATATTCTAATAATAAATCAATATCTTTCAAAATTGTTGGGTTTAACTAAATTTATCATGTGTAACTTGCACGTGACTAATTTTGTTTGAACTTTTTGGCAAATTACATGAAATGCTATTTTCCTTTGTGATTAACTTAGACTACTTTTTGAGACAAAAAAATGTTTGAAACAAGACTGACTTTTGGGATGGATGGAGTAATGAAGATCATGAAGCAAAAAAATATCAAGACTGCAAATGATAACATTACCAGAAGTTCCTGTTTCTCCCTTATCTTGATCATCGACCATTTCCTTTTCATTAAAAGTTCTCTGACTTTGTTCTCCTTTAAGATTGCACAAACCAGGTTTGTCAGCAGAAGAACTGGGACAGGTAAAACTTTTAGGCACAGAATCTGTCACCATGTCTTCCTGCACATCTTCTTGTTTGATATCAAGAGTTTCAGAGCGAGGTTTGATCTGAAGCTTGTTTGTATAAGAAGTTTCGCTCTTCCAGAAGGTAAAAGCTGGTTTGGGAGATATTCTGTATAGCTTACTAGTATACAGGTCGGGATCCTGTATAGGTTCGTCTACATGGGTTTGGAATTTCCTGACACTGTTCTTCCTCCTTAGTTGAGCCAACTTCTGTTGTGATTCACCTAACCTCTTCTCTTCTGCTTCAAGCTGCATAAATCATCGAAGAGGAAAATGAAACTTTTGCTTTTGATCCTAGTCAAGCATCAAGTTCAATCAAATACAGTCAAACAGATAAATCAAGAACGAAGTTGCACAAAGTTTTTTATTAGCTGCACAGAGTTGGAAATGCTAAAATGTATCTCGTCCACTTCCCCACCTAGCTTGATAATAGCCAAATTCTACATAGCATTCCTTTGCTCATAAATTAAAATTTTCAGCTCTAACAAAAGAGCCAATTTTTCTGGACCTTGGATAATGCCTGGGAAAGATAATGCAATGGAAAGTTATTGTGTCTTGTTTTACCAAGGAAATGGCAAAGTTAGAAATGCCAACAAGTGTCCTGTCCACTTCCCCACCTAGCTTGATAATAGCCAAATGCCACACAGCATTAAATATTCATAAATTGAAATTTTCAGCTCTAACAAAAAAGGCATGAAATTGATTGTTCAAATGCTATATCAATTACGACTTACAAAAATATTATAAAACTCTATCAAAGACCAGCACTAGAGTTCATTTTGAACTTGAAAGTTGAAACTAGGGAAATATAATAGAAAGAAAGGTATACCAGAAATTTGGAAGGAAATAAAGCGTGAAGAGAAAACATTTGTTTATACAAAACAAATTATATTAGACTTTTTTGAACTCACCTATATATCTACATCTTTTTATATCCTTTTTATCTTACCTTATCTTTTTATTTTTCATATTTTTCTTTTCTTTATGGCTCTGATATCATGGATTGGTTCATTTAGCCGAAGCCGAAATCTTTAGGAATAAGGGTGGATGTGGTTGTTGTATTTATATATCTACATCTGTCATACGTAGTACTTCGTATATTGTAATAATAAAAACTAAACTATGTAAAATAATTAAAATCATTACTAATATTTCATTTTTCTTTGCCGTTACTGTGGTAAAACAAAAGCACAATAAAATAACTTTATTTATTTTCTTTCCTAATCATTATCCAAGACCCAAAAAATACCCTTAAAGAACCCATTATGAAATAAAGAAAAAATTCCAACCCCATAAGCATAAACGATTAGTTTGAAAACAATAACCTAGAAACGCCAAATCCAAATAATAATTATAGTATATACCCTACATATCTTGAAAGTTGAAACCATTTAAATGCGGCAATCTAGTTTTTGAGCCTCATAAAAATATGGGAAAAAAGAGTTAACTTTAATCCAGTCCAAAAGTTCGCAAAATTTTGGCGAATACAGAGCCTCATACTGTATTAAAGAGTCTTAACTTTAATACAGTATAAATGGTTATACTTTAAAGTGAAAATTATACTCGTACGCACTTCAAGTGTTCCTGTAATGCTCAATAATTTAATCAAACATCAGTTACATCACAATCCTTCAAGTCATATATCTCCGATGTAGCACAGCTGCACAAGTTACTGCTATCGAATGAACCGCCATTTTATTATATCCAATGAATGAATAAGCATCATCGAGATTCTCAAACATTACACCACAGAAAAAAGAATAACAATACACTTTTGCAAATGTAATAAGAAAAATACCTCGCTTTTGTAGTATGATAATCGATTTCGAAGATGTTCAACTTCCTTGGAACGATGTTCAATGAGAGCAACCAGGGCTTTCTCTTCAATGTGCATTGGTCGCTCCTCGGGGTCTCCACCACTGTCCAACTCGCCGTTTCCCGGTTGCATTTCCTGTCTCCGCCGCTTCCTAAATGAAGGCGCGTTCAAGCAGTTCATTTTGTTTTTTTCAATGTTCTGGCTTCCCTCCCAATAAGTAGTACGGAGTAACTTCTTCGAATCTTAGGCTTAGGCTTGTGTGCAGAAAAGGAAGGGCGCCACGTTATTTGGGCTTCAGCAGCTTAAATTATAAAAATTCTACTCCCTCTGTCCCTAATCTTTCTCCCATTTCGGTTAGGCACGTTATTCAAGAAAGTGAGTTTTGTGTGGTGAAGAGTTGTGCAGAGGAGAGAGAAATGTGTAAGAATGTGTAAGAATGGTTGTGAACCACAAATTTTTTGTCAAAAAGAGAAAGAGGAAATAATTTTGGGACGGACGAAAAAGGAAAGTTTGAAGATAATTCAGGGACGGAGGGAATAATTGTTTTATCCATTGAGGTACCCCATATATTAGGGAATATTTATAAATTTATATTCATATATTATATTAATTTTATATTAAAGCTAATTGTTTCGGGATTTTTCGGTCTCGGCCGGGTTATAGATTTTAAGGCCGTTAATGAGCCCAAAATTTCGGGTTCGGTCCGGGTATTTTTAATTCGGACCGGTTAAAAAGAAAAAAAAACGGACCGGGGTCATAATTCGGGTCGGTCCAGGGTCGGTTTCCAGGTTTCGGTTCGATTTTTCCCACTCCTACAAGAAAGAGACTTTTTCTTTTAATTTCAAAAGGTGAGACTAAAAATGATTAAGACCATTATACTCTTTATTCCACCTGGCCCAACTGACCCACTGTCACAGTGATAAATGTCCCGTAGTGAATGAAGTCTCGCACCAACCAATATCCCGCAGTGACCAACGTCCCGCAGTGACCAACGTCTTGAAGTGTAACACCCTCAAATTCATATCCAAAATATATATACTCTCTTCATCCCGTTGGGATGTTCCCGCTTTCCTTTTTTAGATGTCCCAAAAAGAAGTTCCTATTTCTCTAAATGGAAAGTTATCTTACATCAAAACAGTGCAAAACAGTGCCAAACAGTGTTGAAACAGTGTCAAAACAGTAAAATTTACCCTCTGGGAAGTTTATTTCCTTAATATGTGTGTAGGTCAAACCGAGAGCATCCCAACGACACGGAGGGAGTACTAATTATAGCAAGTCTAGAAAGAATTTTCCTAAACATTTAAGTTCAAAAGAGTTTCAATTGCAGCAGAATAAAATAATCAATGGGTGTTTCTTTCAAAAAAAATCAATGGGTGTTACCGCCACATTCGATTCTCACACAACTGAATGTACATGCTAAACCACAATCCAAAATAATCGTTAGTGCTAAGTTCAAAATCAAAAGTAAATAAAACATTGACAAGTTCTGAAATTCTGAATTTAAAAAATGTAACTAGTAACTAGTCTACGTTATCTAGCGGGGTTCTCTTCGTCAAGCATAACATTCATCACTTGCACAAATAAAGTGCCTAAATTTACAAAGAAATTTACCAAAAAAAACAAAGAAAAGGAAACGTAAATTAGCTTTAGAACTAAGTAAGACACATCCAACCCTGTAAAATAATATAGTTTGGAAAATAGTTTTGGTACATATGTATATATCCGAAAATCAGTGATGTAAAAATAATGTTTTCATAATTGAATATGACTTTGAGTAAGAAAGATGTTTTCACACAAATCCAAATTTAATTACTTCTTTTCAAAAACATACTTGATACTCAAGGGAAGTCCCGGGGGGGCTAGGACCAAAAAAATGGATAAAAATAGGTCAAAGCTTAGTTCTTTGTAATATGTGTGAGTAGTCTGATGTTTCAGTCCTAAACTAACCATTTTTTGGGTAGAATTTGTTGAAGTTCTTCGGAATGGATTTTTTTGTGTGAAAACTTATGATCATGTTCTCTATAAAAGTGCAAATTATGTATAAAAAACAGTTCAAAGTTCAATTTAGAAGTCAGTTAAATAAATTACTGAAAAACACCGCGTTTTTATACATATTTTGGCGCATTATTTTTCAGTAATTTAATTAACTAACTTCACAATTGAATTTTCAGATGAAATTTTATGGACATAATCTACACTTGATGGAAAACATTCTCTTAAAATTTGATTAAAAAAACTACTGTGAAGCATATTAGTCTGATATGGTTATTTGATTAATTTATTAATTGATTTCATTCATAGTTGTTTGTTTAATTTCTTAATTGTTGATTGTTTTCTATCGAGATTTGGTGTGATTTTGTAAGACAAACATCTTGGTTATGATAAAATGTATACATTTTATTAATTTAAAGGTGTAATAAAAAGGATTGAATTTGAATAGGATAAATAAAAAATATGAGAAGATTAGACAAAGCGGCGCTAAGTAAAAAAAGTTCAATAAAAAAGTGTGTTTGTATAAATAAAAAAAATCAAATTCTAAATGTCCTGTTCAAGATGAGAACTCGTAGAAGAACGATAATTTAGCTACTGAAAAGGAAATGGTTCAAAATGATTACATCATTGGGGAGGAATTTAGGATGTGATAATAATAGAGTTAATTCCTTAAATATGACTTAAACATTGGTAAAGTTTACAAACAAGGTCACCATTGTTTCCTTCCTAAACAGGGATGAGCAATAATATAATATGATCAGTTTAGACTGAATAGGTTTTTATAATTTTTTATAAATGTCTTGAAATATTATTATTATTATTATTATTATTATTATTATTATTATTATTATTATTGTTGTTGTTGAGGTTTATTCCTTCAACCCTTGGACCCAACACGTAAGCCCAAAGATTTCGAGTGGAGTGAGTGTATGGATATCTAGCCCAACAACCTTCAGATGGATCAGGAAACAAGAGAAATAGCAGGCAATGTAAATAGGTATTATTAACTTCGTAATAACTCCCCTAAGTACAATCTACTTGCTAAAAAAGGCACGTCGGCCGTTCGTCTTACAAGGCAGTTAGAAATGCCGTGAGTAAGAATGCTAAAGCTAGAATGCTAAGAATAGAAAGTTGCCAACCCCTTACAATGAAATAAATGCTTCTATTTATACCCACCAATGGGCAGGTGGCTGTGCTGACGTGGCAGCCTGTGGATCGCTGGTGCCCCAACTACCAAATCTTCAGCATTAAATGCACTTCCCGTCAGAATCTAGGTTTCCCGCCTAATCAGTGGGGACGTTCGTCCGCCCGGGAAGTGAGTTGGATCGCCCCAAGTGACCCCCAAGAGATACCGGCTGTTCGTCTCCTGGCCTTGGTAGATACTCACCACGTGGACTGGGTTTCCTCCGATGACTATGGGCTTACCATGGGGACGTTCGTCGTCATCCCTGGTGGCCCACGTCCCTGCTCCTTGTCCCTGCATAGATGTTCGTCGGGATGAGCCGCTAGGCCTGAACTCTCAATACCAGACGTTCGTCCATCCTCAAGGAACAAGGGCCTGTGGGCTGGCCTTGTGTCCTAACCGGACGTGCGTCTGGCGAGATGGGGTTAGTGGGCCGGACCCCGGCTTGGGCCCTTAACCCAACACAAGTCCCCCACTTCTGATGTTCTGAGCATGCGCAGGACATAAGGAAGTACAAATCCCTTTGAAGTAGACGTTCGTGTCTTGATAGCTGTTGACGGTTCTGGTGGAAGCGTACGCTCGTGGTCATGGTGCTTGACAGCTGTTGACGGT